AGAGAAAACTGGCAAAGCAGGTATTTCAGAAGAATAGGGACTGGCTTACAGGGGCCTCAAAGTGCTGTTTTAGTCATAGCAGGTGATGTTGGAGTTTACATGATAGTGGTAAATATTGTAGATTACTTTAAACAGTGAACCTCGTGAAAAATATAGTAAAGGATCCAATTATAAGACTAAATTTGAAGATCAGCATTTCCTACTAACGCAAACACATAAATACTGCTGAGTTATGAAGTCCAGTGGTAACAGATACAGCAGCATTTCTTCACTCCCTACATAGGAAGCATATAAACATAGTTTAAATGCTGTCACTTCTAATCAAAAGTCAAGACTTGCTGATGAGAGGCAGTATTGCAGAAGACATGGATTAACAAATTCTTTTGGATTTGTGTAAACTCCACAATACCCAGACCTTGAACACTGCAAATTGTCTCTCAAGTCAGGGATAACTACAAAAAATGTTGAGAAAAACTGATCTAGTCATTCCCTTTCACTATTCAAACAAAAAACCTCAATTGCATGCCTATATACCCAGTCAAAAGTGCTCCTCAAGATCTAATTATATCAATTTCTTTTCCTCTATGAATGGATTACCTAATCTGTACATAACACCTAAGATAGACTATTACTTTATCTGCATCTTACATGCTTTGTTTTGGTGGACCTTCATTCTAAAACCAATTCAGAATGCAGATAACAGGAACAAATAGTAAAAGAAACAACTCAGTAAACATGCCATTTTGCTGAAAAGCTTAAGCAGTAACAGTGGGGAACTGAGAGTTATAGCTATTTGAACAAAACTGATTTTATTACTTTCATTTTCAACTACAAGAAGTATTTGTAGTGCTTGTATGGCCATCCTCCTGATCTTTTTCTGCATGCAACTCAGACAGAACTTCTTCCCAATGGATATTGTTGTGCACTGTGTTTATCTTTGACAGCATCCAGAATGGCTGGATATTCATTTTCCTGCAACTGTATCCTGTTTCTGACACTGCTAAAGGACTACTTTGGAGTACATGTTAGAAAATATACTCATTTTATGTCTTTACTACTTGCATTATTTAATAAACCAAGTCTCTGCTAGTTTAGTCACTATACAGATGGAATAAATAAGACGGTCCCTGCTCCAACAACTTAGAATTGAAGTGTAAGGAAAAAAGGAGAACAGATGGATAAAGAAAGAGTGGGAAGTACAAGGAAGCAATGAAAACTATTTTGGTTAAGTTGGTAGGAGGGCATGTGTCAATCTAGCTATATTTGTGGAGTAATTTAAAAAAAACATGCAAAGGAAGTAGCCTGTTGTATATTTACAGAGAAGCCGTGGGACAACATGATAGAATGCATGATGATGGCTGACAATTTATCAAGCAGTGGAAACTCTTGCTACCAAATGAGCAAACACAAGAAAAGTGAAAGCAGCTCAGACCTTACGTACAACGAGGAAGAAATAGAGAAATGAATATAGGGACAGACATAATCAAAATGACAGCCAGGAAAATGACGTACATAAAGCAAAACTATAATGGTCAGACTCAGAGAAAAGGCTAGTGTAGCTGAGTTCCCAGAAGATAAGAACCTGAACAAGAGTTCTGGCTGCAGAGATGACTAGAGAAGGTTATGCCTCTAAAACCATACAGAAAAAAAGTGATCTGAATTATCAGTACACACTGCTGGAATGCATATTTATGTATGATACTATAAGTAAACTGACACTGTTAGAAACTGTACACAGTAACTTCCTTTCCTGAATTGAAACACAAAACTCAGAGACCATTTCTTGCAGGTATTGTCAAGGCTACTTTTTCCCCTACACACATTAATTTACGCTTACTGATGTTACATTTCACACATTGTGAAATGTAATTCTAATACTATTAATGTAATTATAATATAATATTATAATTCTCAGTGTCACAAGATCCTCTTGTGCTGTTTCACAGTCCTATCTATATTGGATTACATTCAATAATTCTTTGTCACCAGCAAACTGTATTCGCTCATTATTTGCCCCCCCCGATCATTTAATAAATACTTGAAATATCACATGTCCTTTTGAGCTCCCACTGCTGAACACCAAAAAGAATTCCTAAGCTGTGGTTCTCTCTTTTAACCAGTGATGAGCCCAGGCAGTATTTAAATTGCAAAGCAAAAGAATGCAATGGAAAATTCAACAGAGAAGTACAAGAATGATGTGAGTTGGGTATAAAGGAGACTAGGATGGCGTAAGGTGACCTGAACATTCAAATTCTTTACTCTAGAGAAGATACAGGAGTACTCTAGGTCTTTAATAGATTAAGGGGATGGACTGGATTATCTTTAAATTCCCTTTAGCACCTACATTCTATTTTCTTGCAGGATCATAAACTGGCTTAATAGCCACAAAATAAATGGTACTACAATCATTTTGAAGTTATGCACATTTTTTTCTTAATTCTGTTAACGAATAAGAAGTACAGTGGAAACCAAGGCAATATTATATTCCCATATCTCTTCATTAGTAAATAAATCTAAAATGCTTTCAGTAACTATTTAATTAAGAACAGAATGTGTTGAGCTGCAATTAATATGCTGATATAAAGGAAACAGAGTTTTTTCATATGGCTTAATTTTAAAGAACCAAAATGAGGACAGAAGTTTACAGTTAAATGTTCTTAGAGAATATTAATAGCAAAGAACTTGAATTCTGAAAAGAGCCATCTCAAGAATCGTATCTTTGCTTATGCAATAGGCCATCGACCTAAGTAAGAAATAATAGTGCATTTATTTTAAAATTAGTTCTGAATTTTAAAGGATGTAAAAAATCGCATTAGTAAACTTAAATTAGAAAATTATTTAATAGTGAGTCATTTTGCCTATTCAATGGATTTCTTTTATAACCCTGTTCATGGAAACAAAATTTTACTGTTTATTGGCTGCTTGAGTATTTCTTCTTATTTTAGCAGCTTTTTCACTCTTTGAGTCACATAACAAAAAAACCCAGACAAGGGCATAATTTTGCTTTTTCCTTATCAAGAAATTACATAGGAAAATGTATAATCTTTTACTCTGAATTAGAGTAGCATCCACTGAGATCATTAGACCAATTAGTCACAACAAAATCTTCAAAAAAATTTGTTATTAAAAAGTAATTCAATTTAGCTCATTCATTTTAAAAACTACCTTGACCCTGCAGGGCTAAAGCTGCCCTAAATAGCAAGATCTATTACATAATCCATACTTAGGCATATGTCACCATGCCGGAGGTTTCCCATTTAAATGAGATCAAAATCTCTTTGCTATTTAGCACAGGTGTTAAGTCTTTAGCATTCTGAAAGAAAGAATTCTTGGACAGCTGCACTTCATGTAAAATAAGGTTGTAAAACTCAAGAAAATCAGGTATATGCAAGTTTACTGGAATCCATATGAGCTACTAGAAAGCAATCTTCTCTGAAGGGCAACAACTCTAAAATATGAGGTGAAATAGGCGATTAGCTTTTGCCTTACCTCTAACCAAGGCTCTAAACTGCTCGAGACACTGATGAAGCTAAAAAAATATGGCACACTATCACCACAAAAATGGGAGATGATTTAATAAGTAAGCTTACAAGTCTACAGGACACTGTCCTTATGGGGCATTAAATATTTTGAGTTTGTCAGTTTAGATAAATCTCTGCATCTGCCATCAAGATATGCGAAATAATATTTTGCTACTCATGGCATTTATGATTATTTATGTTTGACAGCTTGAAGAAAACACAACAAATTAAAATTTTCAAGTATTTTGGTAGTTCTGTGGTTTCACTAAAGTTCAGACTCTGAGGAATGTGTGCTGTCAACAAAAGGGAGATCTAGAAATTCAGAGTGAGTAAGCCTTATCTGAGTTGGAAGACATTGCTAACAGAAAATAGCTTGCAAAGGAAGTGTGAGGGTGGAAGAGCATTATTTTTTTCTTTTCATGAAAAGAGAATGAAGAAGAGAGACTGAAATTTATAGGAGAGCTGAGTTGCAGGATGTTGCATATCTGACAGACAAAAACATATTTGTATATAACAGTTTTTGTCCTGATTGAGTCATGCAAGATATGGTCGTAGAAATTTTGACTGACTCTCTGGTAGACTTCTTGTTTCTCATGCAAAATGCAATGCATCATTACTCTGAGCAAATTTATAACTTGTTTAAGAAATACTTAAGAAAGATCGAAAGAAAACAAACATGATCAAACAGCAAGGTCAGACACGCTACTCAAAATAAGAATAAAACCTTCAGAACTCAGTTGTCCAAATGAGAAAACTATTACAATATATCAGGTGGAAAGGGGGTAATTTGTGAAGGAATGAAGAACTAACTATACAACGTTTCAAATGCATATCAGAAACAGGAAAATTTTCAGAGAATCTGTGGGACCAATAGGTCATAAAGAAGTTTAAAAAACCAACTTTCTGCATTCTTGTGGTTTGAAAAGCCTGCCTCAGAAGAAATAATTGTCTGCAAAATCAGTTTTATTCTGAATAGATAAAAGAGTACCAAACCAGCAGAACCAGAGGGTATTCACTCAACAGATCTAGAGAAACACAGAGAGGAAATACCTGAACTACTGTCATGTAATGACCAGAAGACAAAGTACTTCAGCAAGACTCTTTAAGATAATAGGTTACCATGACAAAAGAGAAAAAGTTCTCACACAGTAAAAGAGGAGTAATCCCATGTTTATATTTGTGGAAATGACTATATTGACAAGCTACTATCCACATATAAAATGCTCATGATTTCCAAAGTCAAGCTGTAACTCTATGGATCTTTTATTTCTATGAACTGAAATGTCCTTTTCACTGTTATTGCACGTGCCCAAATTACAATGATCTCTTTTACTGTTTGGATTTTTTTGTTGTTGGTTGGTTGTAGGGTTTTTTTAGCTACACCTGAATAAATAAACTTGATTATAAGTTTTGGGAAACAAAGAGAAATGCGGTAAGTTCGTTATATTTAAAAAAAAAAAAAAATCAGCTTGTACTTACCTGCTTTCTGACACTGTACTATCTTCTCATATAAGCTATCTGTATTTTCAACTAGAGTCCTGATGGTCTGAATCATCTGTAGAGAAAATAAATTCAAATATACAGAAATATCAGTAAAATTCAGTTTTTATTGAAAATTTTTAATCTGTAAAAGATGCTTAAATTTGAACTCAAATCAATAATCTAATATTTGCTGTTAATATTACGAATACATTCATCTTCCTGGTCATGACCAGGCAGAGAAGTGCTCTAAACGTAGCATAAAGACTTAAAAAATACAATGGTTTTGGGCTGGGATCTGTGAACAATGAAGTAAAATGTCTACTCCATAACTCATTGCCTAACAAAGTAAGTGGAAATTACACAACTATTTACCAGGTAATTCACTTTTAGTGGCTTGGGTGAGATAACCTGGATGCAGGTTTCCTCTTCCTCACTCACTCCGACATTCAGGATAATGACCACTCACCACCCAGTGCTTCCTTTTTCCTAGGGATCATCCCATTGCTTTTCCAGATTTGTTCCTCTACATTTTGCCTTTTTGTGGCTTGACCTGTGCGTATGTACGAGACAACACTCTATGGAGGAAAACAAATCACTCGAGGCTGATACCGGTGGATAAGGAAAATAAATGATTCCTTTACCTAATCTTTCTAAACAAAAAGCCTTTCATAGAAGCTCAGAAGAAAAGCATACCCATTAAGATGGAACTGTGCAGATTTTTCAGCCTAGGGTATGTACTGAGAAGTTAACAACTTTGCTTCAGACCTTACCTACTGATGCCTATGGTATCCACTCAAGCAGACAGATTTCTCGCCACTAAAACAATAACTCAAGTTTGACATGTTATTTATGGGGGTGTTCATGTGGAACTTTCTTTTCCTTAGGAGGCCACAATTGCTGTTTTGAGCAGGAACGTTCCATGTTACAGAGAAAAAAAACCCAAACCTTTCCAGCACCCTTCCTCAGAGAAATACTGCTTTAAGAGGAATGACCACAGTAGTCCTTTCTCACACATATTAGAAGGAGACTTCTCCAGTTAAGTAACATTGAGACTGTTTTTCTGAACTTTGCTCTAAGTGAGGCATAAATCAGTGTAGAGAAGCAGGCAAGTAAGCCTCCGATTTTTTATAATGGCAAGTGTGCAAGCAAATGGTAAGGAGGAACACCTGCATAGATGTAACTACTCTACAGACTTCTACTGTTTTCAGCTACACAAAAATATGGCTTAAGTAAATGATGAAGCATTAAAAAATAATTCTAGTTCTGTTTCTATTATTACAATTTATAATGATAAATAAAATTATGCAAACCCAAAAATTTTTAGTTTATGCTACATATAAACAACATGTGAACAAGCAACTTTAGAGTAAGTGGAGGTCATCCTACTGGATAACTTAATTTAATCTTCACATCCTGATTAATCTTTATTTAATTTCAAAGTATCTATTTATCTCAATTCATATTATCTCAGTTTAAAAAAAATAAATGCAATTTATAATAAATGAGGAAAAAATAATCACTTCATCAGGTTGCTAAGCTGCAAGTGAAATACTTTAGCTTACCCATTTTTAACTAGATTGTTCTTTGAATATAAATATCAATGTTCACTGAAGCAAAAATTGCCTATAAATACAATTATGCCAATTACTAATCAGGTGTAATAAACAGAAGACAACTATTTCAAAAAGAAGCATACTTAAATAAGAGAATACTGTATTTCACCCAGATAAACTTCTATAGGGAGCAAAATGACTATTACTGATTTGTCAAGAAGAAAGCTGCATTTCACTGTTTCATTACTATCTGGTCTTTAAAACAGTATTCAGAAATTGAAATTAAGCCACTATAATTTTGCTTGAAAAGCAACGATTTTACCTGTTTCAGTAAGTATGCCATGTAACAAATTTGCTTCTATAATGCAGGTAAATGAAGAGAACCAAAACCCTGCTGACTTCAATCGCAAATATACTTCATATAACTGATGTTATTTTGCGAACTAGCTGAAAGGATACTGTAAAGCATCCTCCACTGAGCTTCTGCTGCACTGAAAATCACCTTGAAAAATCGAATGCTGAGTTTATATGGCTCTTGTTTTGTCAGGATGCTAATACACAATAGCAAGGACTACAGTGGGATTCTTTGTTAATAAGCATCCTTTCACCTAAGAACCCCTTTGACTAGAGTTCATAAAAGAGAGACTAATTGTGCTGCCTATTCAAGGTACTTGTTCTGGAGGAACTGTAAGAAATACTGCAACTGCCCTATGTTGTCTATTCCGTGTTCCTGACCCTATGTGTATAACAATGTAATTTCTAAGTAGTTAAGTCCTATTGCAGACACAGAGTATCTCTATCTGCTCCGTTTCCTTCACACTATACATTTTACATGCACATCAAATAATTTAGAAATAGTGGAGAACAAGTCTCAGCATATTAGAAACTTACTCTGAGACACTGCACTGATTTTTAGAAATAACAGAATTCAAAGACCAAAAAAAAAAAAATGCTTACAGCATTGCTTCTTTGTTTACTTTCTGTATTGACAAAGCAAGAAAGTTGTGTTAGTTCTGCAGATGAAAGGAAATGGAAGTAATCATTGTATTAGTGCTCTTCCATCACAGCATGGCTAACACTGAAAAAGAATTTATAATAATGTGCAGATTTAATATTTCACAGTTGTGGTATGGAAAGTTGCTTTGCCTAAGTACTCTCAGATCAAAAGCAATGCCCTCTTTGCAACTTTTGAAGAAAAATGTCAATGCAGTTCATGTGACAGAAATTATTCTAATATCAATTTTTATATTACCAATGCCAGTAACAGTTACTTTATTTATCTTTGATCTCTAAAATACATACAAAGCTGTACTTAAAAGCATCACTAAGCAAACTGGCTGAGCTAGCACTAATTCCAGAGTTGATTGCCACCAGCATTTATGCTACATCTCAATTTTGTTGATGTCCTTCACTGAGGAAATAACAGAGCAGTATGCTGTGTGCATGAGTAGGTGTCACCTTCTAGTTGTCTTTGATTTATAAAGTAACATTATTAGTTCATTATAATTTTATTCTTATATTGCTCTTCACCATGCAGTCACCTTTCAGTATGTATTCAGCTATTTGGTAAATGACTCTCATGGAGTGTTTAAACATATAAAGGATTTCTGGTGCTCAAGCCAAAATTATAACATCGTGAAAACATTCATGTAGATATTAACAGAGGCTGAGAGACTTTGGTAGGCACAGCATGTGGAACAACTGAGTATGACAGGTTATATTTAAACAGAAAATTTGCCTGATCCAAATGATACTTGTATGTAAGTGTGTGCTTGGTATAAAAGCAAAGTAGAAAATGATGAGTAAGCAGGAGCTTCAGTGTGAAAAACAGTATGTCGGCAGCCGAATGAGAAATGAAATTCTCAAGACAAATTAGTTGTGGAAATTGAGGAGGAAGACCGAGTAGAGTCTAGTATATAGATCATCAAAAACATATTGCAAATTATCCACACATATTCTAACAAAAGAACACATACTATATGAAGTTTAGAAGCTATACATTCTAGCAAGTTTTTTACAATAATAATTCCCACCTCTAACTTACGTTGCTTTTTTTCTGGAAGTAAAGATTTGAAACATCCAAGAAATATATTTTAAATACAGAATGCATAACACTTGCTGCAATTGCTTCAACTCTCCCTTAAATTCCTGCCCCCCGACCCCACTCCAGTCTCAGTATGGACAGAGAACTGCTCTGTCACTACATACTGGACTATTTTTTTTTTTTTTTTTTTTTTTTTGGATAAATGGGAAATGCAGAAGTCACCACATTTCTGCAGAGGCCAAGTTGACAGTTTGATCTCTTCATCAAACTCTATTTGTTAAATCTTGCAACCATTTTACACAGTTATCAGAAAAACTGTGAGTAATTCTAACAAAAGAACAAATGACAAGAAAGATGTAAAAAAAAATTAAAATGATTCTTGGAGTGTTTTAGAAATAAACACTAAATGATTAGTTCAGAGTTCTCAGGATTAGAGACCTGTATTATTATATATTGACCCTGCCTTAAAAAGCATGAGGATGACAGAAATTAAAACAATTCCTGCTTCAAACTGATGGAACTGTGTTGCTAACAGTATCACTCACCATTTATGTGACTGTGTCTTCAAACCAAACAAAAAAGTCATATACTCAAAAATATATCTATCCTCTTTCTCAGCAAAATAGAACTCTCTCATTAAGAGAGATAGTTACAGAAATTTAAAAAAAGAATATACATGTCTAGACTACCCTTCAGGCTTATTTTTTATGTTGCAAAGCTTTGTTAAGTCTGTTTTATTGTTGTTTTATGAAAGAGGTAAGTGCTATGAACTAACACTGTGTATGTCTATGCATGTATGTAAGCACTTACATTTATGTACACATGCATATATTTGAGAACATTCATTCAATTTCAGCTGAATTTGAACAAGTGGAGATCTATTTCTATGAGGCTCGTGAAGACAGGTCTTCTGGTAGAAGACAGAACATCCTGTTTATGCCCCCAACTTAGGGAAAAGATGTAGATTCAACTCAACCCTAAGTATTTAAACATCGCATTTAACAAAGAATACAGACCTTGAGAAAGAAATATTTTAATAAACCTCCAGATTTATTAATTCTTCTGCAAGTGGAACTGGTAGCACACCAAGAGAGACTCAAGCTGCATTTTAAAATGGAAAAAACAGCCAATGATAAACCATGTCTCACTGATGAAACTCAATGAGAGAAAATACCTTCACTGACAGAGCTGCAACACCAAGGATGAACTTTATTTTTAGCAAGTAAAGCACACTACACATTTACATTTTGAAATCTGTGAATATGTGTTGCCAGTACTGTTAGACCTACATTCCAATAGTAAAACTGAATCTTTATTAAAATTGCTCTTTCCACGAAATGCTGCTCACGTTCTCCTTTTGTCTCAAATCTCAACATTTAGATATACTTCTGAGATCACAAACTGCACTATTTCTGAAAACAGTTTAGTATTCAGTGGCCAAACTAGTGCTCTTAACAGTAGTAATAAAAATAAAAT